TTTTTTTTTTTTTTTTGTCCGAGACAGGGTTTCTCCGTAGCTTTTGGTTCCTGTCCTGAAACTAGCTCTTGTAGTCCAGGCTGGCCTCGAACTCACAGAGATCCGCCTGCCTCTGCCTCCTGAGTGCTGGGATTAAAGGTGTGCGCCACCACCGCCCGGCCTTGACTAGCTCTTATATCTTAAATTAGCCCATTTCTATTATTTTATATTTTACCACAAGGCTCATGGTTTACTGGTAAGGTTCCAGCGCATCTGTCCCCTGCGGCAACTACATGGCTTCTCTCTGACTCCACCTACTCTCTCTATATCTATGTTCATATTTTCCAACTGGCTTTGCTCTGCTAAGCCATTGACCCAAAGCAGCTTCTTTGTTAACCAATAAAACATATTCACAGTATACAGAGGGGAATCCTACCTCATGGAGCTGTACAATGTCAGGGTGGAGAGGAACCTACTTTAGCCACTCACTAAGAAGACAGCGTCACAGTGACTCTGGGAGATGGTGCAACGTTGTGCTACAACCCAGCGCTTACTTCCCAGGCTTCCTCCTGCACAGGCTGTGCTAGCTCAGGTTCCTCCATCCTTGCCCCTCTCCTCTCTGGACTGTTGTTCCTCTTTTCTCTCTGCTTCTCAATATGTTGTCTCATTCCCTAATGATAATATTATTTTTTTCAGTTACAAAGCAAAAAAAAAAAAAAAGTAAAAATTGTCTTTTTCTTTCTTTTAGCAGCAGGTAAGAACAGGATGGAAAGTTCTGAGTCCACTCCAAAGCACGATGTTTCTGAAGGATCCGATTCACTTGACATATCCTCAGTGGGACTCTTCGGAATGGCGTTGGTAGAACCAGAGTCTGGAGATATCTGTGAAGGTCCTGTAGCACAGGCGGAAGGGCAGCCCTCAGATGATGAAGGGAGTGAACGAGAAAGTGACTTCTTGGAAAAGAAAGCTAAGAAAAATTCCACTAAAGACAGAAATGAGGAGTGTAAAGATGGAGGAGAACCTGCAGACCTTCCCTCTAGTTCTGCTGAGCTCCAGCGAGAAGCAAAGAGACAGAAGCTCTATCAGTGTGAGGAGTGTGACAGAGTTTGTAACCAGAGCTCACACCTCCTTGGATACCAGAGAACCCAGACTGGAGAGAAACCCTGTGAGTGTAATGAGTGTGGGAAGACCTTCCGACAGACATCTCAGCTAACTGTTCATCTCAGAACACACGCGGAGGGGAGGCCTTATGAATGTAGTGAGTGTGGGAAGACGTACCAGCTCTGTTCCCATCTTAGTCAGCACCAGAGACTCCACGATGGGGAGACACCGTCTAAATGCCATGAGTGTGCCAAAGCCTTCACTCAGAGTTCCCAGCTCCTGGACCACAGGAGAACCCACACGGGGGAGAAGCCTTACGAATGTAGTGAATGTGGGAAAACCTTCTGCTCCAACAGAAATCTTATGGACCACCAGAGAACCCACACTGGGGAGAAGCCTTACGAATGTAGTGAGTGTGGGAAAACCTTCTGCTCCAACAGAAATCTTATTGACCATCAGAGAACCCACACAGGGGAGAAGCCTTACAAATGTAATGTGTGTGGCAAGGCCTTTAGTCGGAGTAAGTGTCTTATTCGACATCAGAGTCTCCACAGTGGGGAGAAACCGTACAAATGTAGTGACTGTGGGAAAGCCTTCCACCAGAACTCTCAGCTCATTGACCACGAACGGATTCATACCGGGGAAAAGCCTTTTGAATGTAGTGAGTGTGGCAAGAAATTCAGTTTAAGTAAATGCCTTATTCGGCACCAGAGACTTCACACTGGAGAAAAGCCCTATAAGTGCAGCGAGTGTGGGAAATCTTTCAATCAGAACTCTCACCTCATCATCCACCAGAGGATCCACACTGGGGAGAAACCTTACGCGTGTAATGAGTGCGGGAAAGTCTTCAGCTACAGCTCTAGCCTCATGGTTCACCAGAGAACCCACACTGGGGAGAAGCCCTACAAATGTAAAGATTGCGTGAAAGCCTTCAGTGACAGCTCACAGCTGATTGTGCACCAGAGAGTTCACACTGGTGAGAAGCCTTACGAGTGTATCGAGTGTGGGAAAGCCTTCAGTCAGCGCTCCACATTTAACCACCACCAGCGGACACACAGTGTGGAGAAGTCCGCAAGTCTGCTTCGGACAGACAACGCGGAATTCTGAGTTAACTTTGTTTATAATGAGGATATTTACCATACTCTCTTGGAAGCATTATTCAAATGACCATGGCTTAGTGCTCTTTTCTTTGGGCCACGAAGGTAGGGGAGCAGTAATAACTAGTGCAGTCTTTTCTCCTCACTGTTGGAAAAGTAAGAGCCACGTATTCCGTTTATTCTAGCTTTTTATTTATTTATTTATTTTGGTTTTTCGAGACAGGGTTTCTCTGTGGCTTTGGAGCCTGGCCTGGAACTAGCTCTTGTAGACCAGGCTGGTCTCGAACTCACAGAGATCCACCTGCCTCTGCCTCCCGAGTGCTGGGATTAAAGGCGTGCGCCACCATCGCCCGGCAGCTTTTTATTTTTTAAACTGTTTTAAAATGTACCTCATTTTTTAGTTTTGCATTCCAGGATTTGTGACTTTCAACACAGACATACTATCTCTACTTCATCCTAACTTCTTTGACCGCTGACTGACTCGGAGGCGCACGACCCGACTCTCTTTGCTCCACTCTGTGGCTGTAGCTCTCTCTTCGTTTACTTTGCCCCTCACATTTTTTTACACATATGGGTGTTCTGCCTACATATATGTCTGTGTACCACTCAGTACACATACATGTCTGGTGCCTACAGAGGCCAGAATAGGCCGTCAGACCCCCTGGAACTGGAGTTAGAGATACTTGTCAGCCATCATGTGGATGGTGGGGATCAAACCTGAGTCCTTTGGCCGAGCAACCCGTGCTCTTAACCACTGGACCATTGCTCCAGCCTTCACACCTGTTCTTAAAGTTAGTTCATTGTGTAGCTTTTTGTCATTTAAGCTCCCTAGGAATGTTTTCCTTTACTTGCTAATTTAGTATATGTATGTGTGATTGTTAGTTTATGCATATTTATGTGCGATTGTACAGTGAGTGCAGTGCTTTTAGAGAACAGGAGGGCGGAGCCTTCAGAACTGGTTGTCAGGCGCTGGGAGCTGAACTTGCGTCCTCTGCAAGAACACTATATACTCTTAACCACTGAGCCATCTCTCCAGCCCCTGAGGTTTGTTTTAATTTTTTTTCATGTTTTCCCTCTTAAACCTCTGTTGATCTGATCTTAGCCTGCTTTGAGTTAGTTGACGCTATATGGTACAACTGTTAAATTCTCTTGTATTTATATACTTTCGTACCAACATGAGGGCTCTTTGTGGGTATATATTTTTCATATATAGATAATTATATTAATTGATAAATAAATAATTTTTAAAATCTCCCTCAATCCTTAAATTATGTCCCTCTCCCCAAAGTTTTTAAGGTTGGGAGTGCACCTCCAGCGTCACATACAATATGTTAATTATGGTATTGTAACTACTAGGGCATTGTTCTTAGAAAGCTAATTATATGTGAGACAGAGTGAGAGACAGAGCACATTTTGTTGTGTATTCAGTTGTGCAGGCAGGACCCACCTAATGTGCATTGTGTACAAGGACTCCATTCTGGCTCTTGAGTGAGCAGGCTGAGAAAGATCAGTCAGAAAGTGGCTGCGCTAGGTCACGGACACACCCACCATAGTTTCTGTGAGTGTGCCGGAGATCTGAACTCGGGTCCTGCACTGGGTCACGGACACACCCACCATAGTTTCTGTGAGTGTGCCGGAGATCTGAACTCGGGTCCTCATGCATGTGTGGCAGTCATTGCCTACTGAGCCACCTCTCCAGGCCCATTGTGCACACGTTCTTGAAAATGTGGGAAGCTTCCTATTCTAACATACAGTTATGGGCCCCTCAAGGGATCCATAATGAAGAAAAGGTCTCCTCCATCTGGGTGTGTTGGCATATGCCTGTGGTCCTAGCACTCGGGAGCAGAAACAGCTTTTATGAGTTCAAGGCAAGCTTGGACTACATAGCAAGATGCAGGCCAGCCATGCTGGGCCACTTGTCTTCAGAGGGGAGGAGAGGGTGTGAATAAAACAATGTACAGAACTTCTACTTCACTAGGTATCTTTAAATTTACATTTCTTGTACATTCTTCATAGAGGTCCCAGGACAGCTGTGGGAGTTGGTTCTCTCCACGAGGTGAACCCCATAGATCCAAGTTGGAAGTCAGGCTGGGTAACAAGTGTTTTCATCTGCTGAGCCCTGTCACTGATCTGTGGCCTAAGTTTTATAAACTATCGTGTGTGTGTGTGTGTGTGTGTGTGTGTGTGTGTATGTGTGTAAGACGGAGGGAAGAAGGGAGGCAGAGAACGAGAGCATGTGTGTAGTGATCAAAGAACAACTCTGGAGTTGGTTTTCTCCTTCCACCTTTATGTGAGTCCCAGGGATTGAATTCAGGTCTCCAGGCTTGTTCAGAAAGCGCCTTTACCCACTGGGCCATCTTGTTGGCCCCTGTATTAGTTACTTTTCTGTTGTGTTGGTAGGGTTGCACACCTTTAATCCCAGCACTTGGGAGGCAGAGGCAGGTGGATCTCTATGAGTTTGAGGCCAGCCTGGTCTGCAGAGCTAGTTCCAAGACAGCCAGAGATACACAAAGGAACCCTGTCTCCAAAACCAAAAATAAGCTGGGAGGTGGTAGCACACCTTTAATCCCAGCACTCAGGAGGCAGAGGCAGGCGGATCTCTGAGCTCCAGACCAGCCTAGTCTACTGAGTGAGTTACAGAGAAACCCTGTCTCGAATCAACACAGACACACACACACACACACACACACACACACAGACACACACACACACACACACACACACACACACACCCAAAAAGAAAAGAGAAGAGCTAGGCATTGTGGCTCCAGCAATGATCATCCAGAAGCTGGATGGTCACATTTAATACACAAAGCAGAAAGAACACGAAGTGGGTGAGGCTGTAAGTCCTCGCTGTCCCCAGCAAAGCTCCACCTCCTAAAGGTTCCACCGGCTTCCCACACAGCACCACCAACTGGGGACACAGTGTTCTCAACCACCACAGTCCCCTCCCAATTTCCTCTTTTTTCTCGGTTTATCTGTGTATTAGCTCTGGCTGTCCTGGAACTCACTTTGTAGATTTGAAATCTCACGAGGCTTATTGTCAAACACCTTTAACTCCAGCATTTGGGAGGCAGAGGCCTGGATTTCTGTGAGTTCAAGGTCAACCTGGTCTACATAGTGAGATCCAGGGTAGCCAGAGCTAAAAGTGAGACCCAGTATTAAGACAACAAAACCAACAAAAACCTTAAACAAAGGGGCTGGAGAGATGGCTCAGCGGTTAAAAGCATTGCCTGCTCTTCCAAAGGTCCCTGAGTTCTATTCCCAGCAACCAGAGATTTGCCTGCCTCGGCCTTTCCCCGAGTTACCTTAAGTCAGAATTCAAATCTGGTGGTCACATATGATGGTAAAGGGTGGGAAGTATACACTGAACCATTTGCCTCTGATAGATGGGAACAACACACATAGTAAGGAAAGTCATGTTGTTATACTTTACCTTTATATGTTTGGACGCTTGCCAGCATGTGTGTTTGCTTGGTGTTTGCAGATGCCAGAAAGGGCGCCAGATCTCCAATAACAAGAGTAATAGCTGGTTATGGGCCACCATGTGGATTGAATCTGAGTCTCTTGAAGAGCAGCCAGTGTTCCTAACTCCTAAGCAATCTTTCTAGTTCCACGTATTATTATTATCATTATTTTATATTATTATTATTATTTGGTTGTTGGTTTGTTTATTTTAGGGAGTTGTTTGTTTTGGTTTGAGTTTTTTTATATTTATTTATTATGTATACAATATTCTGTCTGTGTGTATGTTTGCAGGCCAGAAGAGGACACCAGACTTCATTACAGATGGTTGTGAGCCACCATGTGGTTGCTGGGAATTGAACTCAGGACCTTTGGAAGAGCAGGCAATGCTCTTAACTGCTGAGCCATCTCTCCAGCCCCCTTGTTTGAGGTTTTTGTTGGTTTTGTTGTCTTGTTTTAAGACGGGGTCTCATGTCTCACTTTTAGCTCTAGCTACCCTGGATCTCACTCTGTAGACCAGGTTGACCTTGAACTCAGAAATTCACCTGCCTCTGCCTCCCAAATGCTGGAGTTAAAGGTGTTTGCTAACAAGCCTGACACAAATCATGAGATTTCAAACTCTGACTTATGGGGGGCTAGGGAAGTGCCTCGGCATTTAGGGACTTGAACTGCCATGGTAAAGAACTCAAGTTCAGTTCCCAGCATCCACAACAGGTAGCTCACAACCTAGTTACCTGTAACTCCAGCTCCAGAAGGTCCGATACCTTCTTCTGGCCTCCTGAATTCAGATGCACTCAACTACACAGACATACATACACAAATTAAAAATAAGATGAAATTCTAACCTATGTCGGGAGATGGCTTTTGTTCAGAAGTTAACTTCTAGGCTGGGTGGTGTGGTGAATGCATGCATGCATTTAATCCAGCACCTGGGAGGCAGAGGTAGTCAGATCTCTGTGAGTTCGAGGCCAGCCTGGTCTACAGAGTGAGTTGCAGGACAGCCAGGACTATATAGAGAGACCCTGTCTCAAAAACAAACAAACAAAAAATCAGTGCATCAGAAAGGATGTGTTCATGAAAAGTTCTAATGAATGGGAATTAGTTTTAAATTTGCTAATTGTGAATACCCATACAGTGGCTCTAGCAAACAAGGCACACCGTATACCTCTTACACTTATGCTCTGTCCTGATGGAGTCTCGTAGAAGCATTTACTCATCTAGTACAGGACGAATGTTATGATGCCCAGTGGCCCCAAAGCACCTCGTTGTTTAGGTACTCAATTCGTGAAGGAGCATTGTAGATTTATTCATTGGGGCAAACCAATCTTCCCACTGATAGATGCGTAGGGCTGCTTTACAGGATGCCCAGCAGAGTGAGGGGCAGATCATCTTTTAAGGCATTGCTCCAAAGAGTATGATGGTCCATTGCTTTTTCTTGGTGGTGAATACTCCTGAAATGACGCCTGATTAGGATTTCCAATGGAATAAAACCACGTTTTCCTCCTTGGTAACCAACTAATTCTGTATAGACTTAAGTTTTTAGGGATACGTGTACAGCTGGCATCACGTGATGATAGCCCATAACGTTCTTTCCCAAATTATTTCTAGTTGCATTGCTTTCTGTATAGATATTGCATATGTTAAATTTCAACTTCCGCACAGGATAACCATATGGATGATCGGTAAGAGTTTTTAGAGACTAGCGGTCACTCAAGGATTGGGTGAAAAGAAGGCCAGTAGACAGAGTAACACCAGGACAAAATATATCTACCCTAGACTGAATAAAGGGTGGGGACCATAGCTGAATGGAATGCGTTCAGACCATGGGACAGGGTTATATGTATCCAGCCACAAGACTGAACGCAGTATTCCATTTCCACTCTTAGAGTTTGAAAAATGCTCTTCCTCCTTAAGGGTTTACACACTGCCCTCTGGAGCAGAAGATGCCAGGTCTACGGCAGTGACAGCATATCTGTGGCAGCCTTGGAAAAATCAGAGCATATTCTGACAACAGGAAGAAGCCACAGTGAAACTTTTCCAGTCAGCATTAGGTTGCCTCGGCAATGAACAGAAGCAAAGCCAAAACAAACCAACAGCTACCAAATTTTTTACCAGGCAGCCACACAATGGGTGTCCTCAAGTTCTGGAGCTATTTCCTCTAAATTGATATATTTCCACCTAAAGTAAGTAGAAAAGCTACTAATACCAGGGAAGTTAAACTCATACGGTTCAGGAAGAAAACAAAACTTACAAACAAGGTATTTCTGGAGAGGTGGTTAGCAGTCATAAGCCTTTGCGGGGGACCCAAGTTAGGTTTATACAAAATAGGCTCTAGACCCACATTTAGAGGTTCACAGCCACCCTGGCTCCAGAGACTGGATGCACCAACACACAGAAATACATGTGCACACCCACACGCACATTCTCTCGCACAACGCACATGCACGCACGCACACACACACACTTTTTGATCTTACATTTTTTGCTCAGGAAGACCCTGAAACCTAGAAAATTCATAAGGCCCCTCCCTAAGTTTATATAAATCATAAGGATAGCTGGGGAAGGTGGAGAGGGAATGGGAGGAGAGGAGGACTGGGGAAAAAGTTGGGATGTACAATAAATTTAAAAAACAGCTGGGGAAAAGAGACTCTCTGACCAATCAAGATGCAAGTAGCGCAGAACTCTAGGGATGAAATATTGTGAATACCCACCCATGTGAGTGTGGTTTCTAGAGATGTAGCTGCCTTTGAGTTATCCGTGTTCTTACAAGGATCTCTCATGTATGTTTCTGTAATTCTTTGGTCTGTTGGTGGTGTCCTATGTGGAGGGAAGAGAAATTGTTTATATTTCCTCTGGAAAATTATATAACTACTGGCACAAGAACAGGGATCCAAAGAAACAAAGATTTAAGTTTGTTTTTTAAACACATTAGCCTCTGAAAGACATTCCAGAGTTGAACAACAGTGACCAATGTACAACTCATTAGCAAATCACTCTGGTCATTCCTTCAAAAATATGTGTAGTTCCTATTCTTAGCAGCTACTGCACTTACAGTACTTTATCATTTATCATGTACCACTGCGTAAACTGCAATGCCTTCTTAATAAATCTGTGGGGTTTTTTTGTTTTGTTTTTTTTTGAATTTTTGAGACAGGGTTTCTCCGTAGCTTTTTGGTTCCTGTCCTGGAACTAGTAGCTCTTGTAGACCAGGCTGGCCTTGAACTCACAGAGATCCACCTGCCTCTGCCTCCCGAGTGGAGTGCTGGGATTAAAGGTGCGCGCCACCACCGCCTGGCATCTTGACCCTCTCTTAGCCTGTTCTCCAGAGGGCAGGCAGTTCTAACGGTAAAGACTAAGTCAAGGAGCTGAGCTTGCCCACAAGGTTATTTCAGAACACCTCTAGACACAGAGCAGAGAATAATAGAATTTATAGGAACAGCTTTCTTGGCTCATTTCATATCTCTCAGGCAACAAATGTCGGAGTATGTGAAGAAGACAAGCAACAAAAGAAAGCCTGTGTCTCTCCTTGATCCCAAGTTCCTAACAGGACCTTAGGTGCCGAGGACCCTAGTACAGAGGTGGGGGTGTGACCAGTCACCGAGCAGCTTAGATACAGAGGTGGGGGTGTGACCAGTCACCGAGCAGCTTAGATACAGAGGTGGGGGTGTGACCAGTCACCGAGCAGCTTAGATACAGAGATGTGGACTGGGGCCTGGGGCCCAGATCTCAAGAAAAAGAGGAAACCTTAGTTGTACCCTGAAACCATCTTAGTTGCTGTCTGTGGTTCTGTGTGTTGCTGTGTGCCAGCTGCTATGTCTCTGTTACACGGGAAGCAGCTCAGCAAGAAGAGCTGACTGAGCCAGGGGACCTTCCATATCCCTGTTCTCAGTGCTAGGTTACACTTGATCCTGCCTTTCGGTTACTCTTCCCATTTTAGAAAGTTGAGCAAGAAGAGAGCAGGGTGGGTTTTATGAGGTTCTTTGCATGTTCTGAGACTGGACCTGCGGTGTTCCACTTCACCTCTGTCTCTATCTTTTTATTGTCTTTTTCCTAACTTCACTTTTCTCATCGTTTTGAACAGCTCTCTGCCTTTGAACACTTGCCCTCCTATGTGAGACACCGTGATCTACTACATCTTGTCTTCCTTGAGTAATTCTTACTCTATTACAGAGAAACTGTGACATGTACACTTTCTCTTCCTCCTGTCAGATGGTGAAATAGACTGAGGAGGGATTGATTCTAAATCATCATTCCTTGAAAAATCAGAATCACGTTTTACCCTGGAGAATTCCACATAAGTGTTGCCAAGGAAGTAAAGAATTTAAAAGGGAAAGATAAGGTCGGAACAGCCACTGGAATGCGCCCAGCAGAATATGAAGCAAAAGACGAGAAAGTTCAAACACAAGGCGTTTGAAGGGAGTGACCAGGAGTGTGAAAACGGTGGTAGTCAGCCCTGTGACTCTCCATCACATGAGCGAGGTCGTGGTGGAAAGAGACAGTACGTGTGCCCTGAGTGTGGAAATGCCTTTAGTCAGAGGGACAACCTCACGGTGCATGAGCGAACCCACACAGGAGAGAAGCCGTATAAGTGTAAGGAATGTGGCAAAGCTTTTAGTCATAGATCCAACCTTGTGGTCCATCGGAGAATCCACACCGGAGTGAAGTGTGGGAAATCTTTCGGGGGTAAGTCCCATCTCATCCGGCACCAGGGAATCCACAGTGGAGAGAAAACATACGCGTGTAAAGAGTGTGGGAAAGCCTTCAGTCGGAGCCCGGGACTTACTTCCCATCACAGAGTTCACACTGACGAGAAGCCCTACACTTGTGTTGAGTGTGGGAAAACATTTGGCAGGAGTTCAAACCTTACTCAGCATCAGAGAACTCACAGAGGAAAAAAGATTTACAAATGTAGACTGTGTGTGAAAATACGTGGTTCCAATACAAAGATTATGGACCAACAGAGAATTCACAGCGGAGAGAAGCCCTACGAGTATGCCAAGTGTGGGAAAACCTTCACGTTAAGGAAGGCTCTTAGTGAGCACCAGAGACTCCACCGTAGAGAGAAGCCTTATAAATGCAACGTGTGGCAAAAGCTTTCACTTCTAACGGAAACCTTGCTGATCATCAGAGAGTTCACACTGGAGAGAAGCCTTACGAACGTAACGAGTGTGGGAAGACCTTCAGGCAGAAATCCCAAGTGATTCTGCATTTGAGAACCCACACTAAAGAGAAACTCTACAAATGCAGCGCGTGAGGGAAAGCCTACCGTTATAGCTCACAGCTTATTCAACATCGAAGAAAACATAACAAGGAGGAAGAAACCTTATTGTTTGTGGGCCAGGTGTGATGGCTCATGCTGTTTATTCCAGCATTTAGGAGGCAGAGACAGGGAGATCTCTGTGAGTTCTAGACCATCTAGGGCCATACAGTGAGACCCTGACTTAGAAAAAAAGAAAAATCGGCTATTAGGCTGATTGCTACTTTTCTGAAAATTAGATTTTTAATTAGTAACATTTGACTAAATTCTGCTTCTAAGAATCCACACAGGGAAAATAGAGCATGCTCCGAGGTCTCTCTTGCTCAAGCTTCCCTCTGTGTAACAGTTGACTTCCTGCTGTCTTCTGATGAGATGTAGCCAGCACCATGTCTCCTTAACAGAGCTATGCTTCCCACCATGGTGATAATGGACTGGATCTCTGAAACTGTAAGCCACCAACCACCTCAATTAAATGTTTTGTTAGTATTGCCTGGGGCCCAGAGGGGTGCGTACTATGACTATTTATCTGAGAGGGTTAAGGGAGAAAACACTCATACTCTCTCTTGATGGTTTCCTTCAAACCTTTTCTTTTCTTTGTTTTTTNTTTTGTTTTGTTTTGTTTTTCGAGACAGGGTTTCTCTGTGGCTTTGGAGCCTGTCCTGGAACTAGCTCTTGTAGACCAGGCTGGTCTCGAACTCACAGAGATCCGCCTGCCTCTGCCTCCCGAGTGCTGGGATTAAAGGTATGCGCCACCACAGCCTGGCCAGACCTTTTCTTTATTCTTCTTCATATTATATATTCTTTATTTTCCTGGTGAATTCTTTCTCTGATTCTTGATGTTTTCCTTCTAACTCTATCTTTATTCTTGATGTTTTTTTCCTTCTAATTCCCTCATTCTTGATGCTTCCCTTCTAACTCATTTTGACTCTATCTTTATTCTTGCCCTTACAGTTTATACACCCCAGCAAAATCTTTCAGGCAGTATAAAAATTATAATGTGGTTACATTCTGTTTTTCAAGTGAATGATTACAATGACAATAAGTAAAAAACCAGCATGTTCTCTGTATCCCTTACAAGATTAAACATTTTACATATTACAGGTGAAAAACGAATTATTCCAGGAACCCATGGACATTCATGTCCAAGCAATTTGCTATAGATTAACAGAGAGTAAGCAAGTAAGGTATTCTTTTACTGGCAGGCTGCCTTTTACAGTTACAAAGAAAGAACCAAATACTCCATTACTTTAAATCTTTACGGTATATACCCACTCATAAATAGTTGTTTTTGTTTTGTTTAAGCAGGAGATTGAAAGCAAAAATGGGCACAAGGAATTAATCATCACCTTTGGTCATTATCAAATCCTAGAAAGAAAAGTGCGGACTGCTTTGGTCTTGTCCAGATGAAGGATAGTGGTACGCACTGCATCATTTCTTCAATTTTTCTGTACTGTTTGATATTTTGAAAATAATTTTTTTTTTCCTGCAATCTATCAGGATTTTCTACAGTTTGGCAGCTCTGGGTAGGTGCGCGCCTTGCAAGAATTGCCCCTGCCCTACCCGCTAATACCCGGCTCTCCCTAATCTCAGGACTCTTAGGAAATGCACAGAGGAGGACGACTTCCTAGATTCCTAGAGAGGTCGGCCTGTGACTGTGGAGCCGGAAGCCCTTCCCGAGGCACTTCCTGTCCGGTCATTGTTCTCCCAGTTAAGGCAGAGAGGCTCTGTAGTCTCAGTCCTGAAATTGGCGCTGGCGGGCTGGGCCTCCGTGGTGAGCGGGTGTCGCCGGGCGGGAGAGGAGCAGGATCGCCCTGCACCGACCCATCCTTCTTGCGGAGCCACGAGGTAGTGGGCCGGGCCGGGGCCGGGGCCGGGCGGCGAGGGGCTGCGGGCTCTGGAGGACGGAGGCCTGTGCTGTGGCTCCGGGCCTGCGGGGGCGCGAAGCCCACGGAATCTTCGGAAGACTCAGAGTAGACAGCTTAGCGTGTGCGCGTAGGGGAACGAGTCTCAAAGGCTTTCCTGCCAGGGGGACTCAGCCCCACCACAGGGAGAATAACCCTCCAGAATTGTGATTTGGTTCAGTGGGGGAAAAGCGTGGCATTCCTTGAAAATTCAGTGTGTACAATAAAGTTAACGTTGGAAAAATGAGTATGGTTACTCCAAAAGCTGCAAAGGTGGATTTGGTAAAAATTGGCACAGTTTTTATTAACAGAACCAAAGAGGAATAGAAACAAACAAAAAACAATATTCTTATATCCAGCTGTAATAATAGTCAGATTATTTGACTTAGTTAAAATAAAAAAAAAAAAACACCTGTCGGCTTATCCGAGATAAAAAGGTCTTGTTAATTAGTAGTTGTGTGCCTGACTTTATGTGGTGTTTTAGGAAGCAATCTGAAACATATAAGCCCTTAAGCTAGTGACCTCACAGTTCTTTCTAAAGGAATAACGCAATAGGACTAAAGGGTGATTTGTACAGGAACGACGGTTACCAAACTGAGGAGTGAAGTCCATGTTTGTTAAAGAAAAGGTTGTAAACAGTACAGTGAAGTAAGTGTAGAATCCTCCGCCAGAGTGAGGTGTGTGTGCTTTATTTACTTTGGATATTGGAAGACCGCTTTGGCTGTTGTGAAACAGTAATTGGGTCAAGAAGTGGCTGTGGCTGAGGGTGTACCTCAGCGGTAGAGCATCAGGCCTTTGGATGGCTTCCCGGCACTGCAGAAGCCACAGCAAAACCCACCAGCACTGTAGTGGCATTTCATTTGTATTTTAGTAAATAAAACTTGCCTGAAGGTCAGAAAAGCAAAACAGCCAGTCACTAACTCTTACCTCGACCTCAGTCCAAAATGGTGATCCTGCCTCCAGGAATCCCAGAATGAGACTGTGTCTGAGAGCTGTCTCCTCCCTTATTATATTCCTCTCTAGGGCTGGGATTAAAGGTGTGCACCACTACCGCCTGGTTTCTGTGTCAAACTAGTGTGTGTCATTGCTGCCTGGCCTGTAAGGCTGGCCAGTGTGGCTGTTTTACTTTTCTGACCCTCAGGCAAATTTTATTTATTAAAATACAAATGAAACACTATTGCACAGTACAGAGTGGTGAACTATGTCCAAGTGTGGTCCAGACGAACACACACAGGGGACTAGCGACATCCAGCCTAGTCACTAATTACTCTGATTACATTTGATTTTATGTGTTTATATAACCTCTTCAGAAAGACTGAGAATTATAGGTTATTGTGCAACAATTAAAAAATAAAGATAGGCCGGGCAGCGGTGACGCTCGGGAGGCAGAGGCAGGTGGATCTCTGAGTTTGAGGCCAGCCTGGTCTACAAGAGCTGGTTCCAGGACAGGCTCCAAAGCTACAGAGAAAAACTGTCTTGAAGAAAAAAAAAAAAAGATAAACAATGTTAACATGAATACTTTTAAGACCAAAAAAAGAAAGACCCTCAAAAAACGCTTGTAATTATAACCTTTGAGCTAATCATTCTTTTCTCTTTAGAAAACCTTTATAATGTTCCCTCTTTAAAGCTTTAGTCTAGGGGTTGGGGATATAGTTCAGTGGTAGAGTATTTGAGGCCTTGGGTTTGGTCCTCATTTCTGAAAGGAAAAAAATTAGTCTAATTCTGAAAATAAGTGTCCCCATAGTAAAAAAAATTAAGCTACTAAGTAAAATAGTTATTATCACTGGATTGAAGATTTTCTCTAATATTTTTCTATATTTTTAAAGTTTTTACAGTTAAAATATTAATTCTTCCTCCTTTTTTTCCCTTTTCTTTTTTTAAATTTGAGATACCATCTCACTATGCAGCCTGGGATGGCCTATGTAGACAAGGCCTCTGCTTCCCCAAGTGCTGGGATTAAAGGTGTGTACACCAGTGTACCCCTGAAATTTGAAGAACAGACCGCTGCTGCTCTGCCGTGCCACTAGCCAGAGCAGGAAGCACCAACCAGTGGGCACAGTGCTATCCAAACAAAGCTATATTTGGTGTTGACTGTGTTTTTTGGTTTTGCAGGGAATAGTACTCCTCTTGGTACTGGGAAGAGACTCAGAAGCTCTGGCGACGTGGAGATTAGATGGGGCGTGACCAGTGCTGGGCATCCCCCGCTGAACAGAGAGGATGACTGCAGAACTGAAGAGGACCATGGCCCGAGCCTCCTGGGGCCCAGTGAAGGTGGAAAAGGACTGGGATGATGGTGAAAGTGTGAGCGCGTCCAGTCGACAAGTGTACTCGGAGAACGTCAAGGTCTGCGCCCCAGGGGAAGGTCCTTATTTAAGCATTGATGTATCTGAAGAGGAGGGAAAGGTAAGTGGTGATCTGGAGGGGAAGAAGAGAATGCAGATCTCAGATAGTTTCAGAGGCACTCCACTGCCAAACCCAGGCTTTTTCTCTCCTGGTCAGGATTCTTTCTTTTTATTCCTGTGGAGCACAGTGAGATGGTCCCTTTGATTGATCTGTAATTCTGTTGTTCACAACCATTGCTGCATAGAACCTGGGGGGCTTTACAACATCTTGTTACCCACGTTATATTCTGTTCTAACCAAAACAGACTCTGGGGAATAACACCTAGGTTTTTGGGTGTGTTTTTAGTTGTTGTTGTTGTTTTTTGTTTATCGGGGCAGGGTTTCTCTGTATAACAGCCCTGGCTATCCTGGAACTAGCACTTGTAGATCAGGCTGGCCTCGAACTCACAAAGATCTGCCTGCCTCTGCCTCCCGAGTAGTGGAATGAAATGCGTGCACCACTACCGCCCAGCTCACCCTGGCTTCTTTTTTTTTATTTATTTATTAAAGATTTCTGTCTCTTCCCCACCGCCGCCTCCCATTTCCCTCCCCCTCCCCCCAATCAAGTCCCCCTCCCTCGTCAGCCCAAAGAGCAATCAGGGTTCCCTGCCCTGTGGGAAGTCCAAGGACCACCCACCTCCATCCAGGTCTAGTAAGGTGAGCATCCAAACTGCCTAGGCTCCCACAAAGCCAATACGTGCAGTAGGATCAAAAACCCATTGCCATTGTTCTTGAGGTCTCAGTAGTCCTCATTGTCTGCTATGTCCAGCGAGACCGGTTTTATCCCAGGCTTTTTCAGACCCAGGCCAGCTGGCCTTGGTGAGTTCCCGATAGAACATCCCCATTGTCTCAGTGTGTGGGTGCACCCTTCGCGGTCCTGAGTTCCTTGCTCGTACTCTCTCTCCTTCTTCTCCTGATTTGGACCTTGAGATTTCAGTCCGGTGCTCCAATGTGTGTCTCTGTCTCTGTCTCCTTTCATCGCCTGATGAAGGTTAATATTCAGGAGGATGCCTATATGTTTTTCTTTGGGTTCTCCTTCTTATTTAGCTTCTCTAAGATCACGAATTATAGGCTCAATGTCCTTTGTTTATGGCTAGAAACCAAATATGAGTGAGTACATCCCATGTTCCTCTTTTTGGGTCTGGCTTACCTCACTCAGGATAGTGTTTTCTATTTCCATCC